ACTAATGCTCCAACGGTCTTTCAACACATGATGAATGACATCTTTCGAGAGCATCTAGACGATTTTGTTGTCATCTATCTAGATAATATTTTGATATTTTCTAAGAACGAGGAAGAACATGAGAAGCACGTTCGTCTGGTACTCAAAAAACTACGGGAGCGAGGACTCTATGCCAAATTGGAGAAGTGCTTATTTCACCAAACTGAGATGGAGTTTTTGGGATTCATCGCGACTACGGAAGGCTTGAAGATGGATCCAAAGAAGGTGGAAGCAATCATGTCTTGAGAAGTTCCGAAGACGGTTAGGGACGTACAATGTTTTCTTGGATTTGCTAACTACTATCGGATCTTCATCAAGAATTATTCTCAAGTTGCTGCCCCCCTCACTCGGTTAACGTGTAAAGACAAGCTCGAATGGGGACCTATCGCAGAAAAAGCATTTTAAGATTTGAAGATGGTATTTACTACAGCTCCAATCTTGGTACATCCGGACTTTACAAAGACCTTTTATTTGGAGACAGATGCTTCGGATTTTGCTTTGGGAGCTGTACTTTTACAGATGGGCGTAGATTAGAAGCTCCATCCAGTTGCGTTGTATTCTCGAAAATTCTCTACTGTTGAGATCAACTATGAGATCCACGATAAGGAACTCCTTGCTATAGTAGATTCTGCACATCCAGTGACCGTATATACGAATCACAAGAATTTGGAGTATTTCATGTCGGCTCGGGTTTTGAATCGACGTCAAGCTTGGTGGAGTATGTCGCTATCCAGGTTCGACTTTGTTATTACTTATCGGCCTGGGAAGCAACAAGGGTTGTCCGATGCATTATCAAGGAGATCATATCTCGTGCCAAAGGCTGGAGATGCAGCATTTGATGAACAGTGCACGACATTGTTGAAGCCACAGAAATTTCGACTCAACGCAGCTATTGTACCAATTGATGCTGACTTCCTCGACCAGGTACGGGCCGCAACCATTGAAGATTCTCTAGCCCTTGATATCAAGCAACATGCTAGTGGTGATAAATTCAAGATGGAAGGAGATCTAGTATATTTCGAAGAGCGGTTGTATATCCCAAAAGAGCCAACACGACTCCGAGTTCTTCAATCTCGTCATGACTTTCCAGCTACGGGACATTTTGGATTCAATAAGACCTTGGAACTTATTTCCCGCGATTTCTAGTGGCCTCAAATGTGGAAGGATGTGAAAGATTTTGTTGTATCTTGTGACATTTGTTCAAGATCCAAAAACCCTCGACATCGGCCTTATGGACTTCTACAGCCATTGTCTATTCCGCGCCGACCATGGTCTTCGGTTTCCATGGACTTTATTACGGATCTACCACCATCGAATTCATTTGACAGCATTTTTGTTGTTGTAGACCGGCTTACAAAGATGGCGCATTTTGTCCCTTGCAAGAAGACATCGTCAACCGAAGACACAGCAAGACTCTTTCTTGATAATGTGTATCGATATCATGGTCTACCAGATGATATCGTATCGGATCGAGGAACCCAGTTTGTGTCAAAGTTTTGGAAATCTCTTTTTGAAATATTGAAGGTGGATATCAAGCTTTCTTCGGCATTTCATCCTCAAACGGACGGCCAAACAGAACGGGTGAATCAAGTTTTAGAGCAATATTTACGTTGCACCATCAACTATCAATAAGATGATTGGATCGCATATCTACCGCTAGTCAAGTTCGCATATAACAACACCCTTCATGCGTCAACTCAACAAACGCCATTCTTTTCCAATTATGGATACCATCCGAAGCTTGACTTATGGAGTTCGTCAACGATTAATAATCCGGCAGCTGAAGGATTAGTGAAGGAGCTTTCGCAGCTTCAAACTACATTGAAGCTTCAATTGCAAACTGCCCAAGAATCTTACAAGGCGTCCGCGGACAAATTTCGGAATCAGGCACCTAAATTCATGATTGGGACCATTTGTTATCCAGAAGCAGATCAATCCTGTAGCGTATCGTCTGGAGTTACCAGCTACTATGAAGGTACATCCTGTCTTTCATGTTTCTTTGTTGGAGCCTTATCGAGAATCATCTTTTCCTAGAAGAGTACAATGTCCACCACCTAGCATAGAAATAGAGAACCACGAAGAATACGAGGTGGAAAAGGTCCTGGATTCACGGCAAAGACGGGGTAAATTAGAATACTTTGTGCATTGGAGCGGTTACGATATTAATGAACGAACATGGGAGCCAGCCAAAAATCTCGCGAATGCGCCGCAAAAGGTACAGGAGTTTCATCGACGATATCCTGAGAAACCCAAGTCGGTTCTACGATAGCTTCTTACTGAAGCTTGCTCATCCAGAAAACAGAAAAGAGGAGAGAGCACCACCAAAATCCATAGTTGATGTAGTCATTCTCTCCAAGATAGCGTAGAACTTTGTTAGTAGCCCAAGTTTGTTCTTATTGTTTTAGCCTTTGAATATGGATAGCCAAGATACGACACTTGTCATGTCATCTCAAGCAACTAGCTCACGAAGACGACCGCAAGATGAAGAACCGCTTGCACCATGACGACGTCGAAGGATTCCGAGCAACAGATCGCTGGTGATTGTATTTGAGGTCGAGCCTGCCTACAATGGTCAGCCAGAAGGAGTGTTTGCAGGACAATTTCACAATGAAGACACGGAGGTTCATGCTTCGTCAGAAGTTGAAGGCGTGGGCCACTACCGTTGGCTTCAAGGACCATTGAATCACTTGCCTCGTGAACAACAATTGGAGTTCATAGCAGAGGTTATGCGACAGATCTTCATTTTCTTGCGTTGGTATTGACTGACGATAACATTGCTTCTCGGAGACCTCGAAGCTAAAGGAGGAGGTGATGTTAGGGACATAGTCCTTAGACCTTTCTAGAGACAAGTTTCTAGAACCTTCTAGAAAGAAGTTTCTAGAAACTTCCAGAAGATTTTTTGAATATTCTCTTAGAATAATCTTCAAAGATTCTCTTAAGATTCTTTGAAGATTCCCTAAAGATTCTCTTAGAAGGCTCTAGAAGATTCTTAGAATATTCTAGTAGATTCTAGGAAGTTACTTGAAAAGCTTCCTAGCTCTTGGGTAGTTGCTCGAGAAGCTTCATAGTTCTTGGGAAGCTTCTTGATGCGCTTCCTTAGAACCATAGGCCAGTAGTATATATAGGAGTCGAGGCTGAAGAGTTCTTCAGTCTCGACAACACATCTTTTGAAGCTCTAGCTCAATTCTCTTGGCGTTGCTCTTGTACTCATCTGATAATCTAGTTCTTGTCATTTCTTCTTGAACTTCTTGTTTAGATTTCTTGTTTGTATTTTTGGTCCGTGACATTTAATTTTTAAATTCTTTGAGAATTCTTTAATATTTCTTTAGGATTTTTTTATATTTCTATAGGATTTCTTGTGATTTCTTTAAGATTTAATTTAGATTTTTAAAAAATTATTTAAGGTTTATTAAGTTGCATATCATAAAATAAGATTATGTAGATTGTTTAGGATTGCTATGGTATTTCTAAAATCTTATGCATTGTTTTTATTTATTTATTTATTTATAAATCTAACTTCAAGCAAAGATCGAACTCTTCTACATTCAAATGCCCAATGCAATCTCATACTAATTTTCACATAATTAAACAACATCTACTAAAATTTTAGTACGAGCCTTGTCTTTTGAATCCAAAGCTTTCTAAAAAATATTCTTTTTTGTACAAAACTTCTTGATCATCATCATTAATCCTTTTGAATTTTCTTAAAGAAAGACCAACACTTTAATAAACTATTTAATTTTAAAGCAAAAACATCTTTATTGTATATAAAAATTCATATTTTAGCAAACTAATTAATAAGTAAATTAATTATCTCAAGTTTTTTCTTTCTTGTAATTGTAGAAGATTGTAGAATTTTTCCATCAATACTTGCTCTTTATTCAAGTTTTGTACATCATACAATATTTGAAGTCTTTTCTCAATTGCATGAGGTTCAAAAATACTAATTACATGAAGAATGATAGATTCTTATACTGTAGATGTGATGATACAACAAGCTCTAATGTAATCTTAAAGAATAAAAGTTGTTGCATTCTCATTTGTTGTTGGCTAGTTCTGTATTGTATTATTAATACTTTAACCTCATCATGTAGAGGATATGACAAGTGCAAGTCCAATTGCAAGTGAAGTGGTTGAGAATTCTTTTGTATAAATGAAATTGAATGAAGACAACTCAATTAGCTACTATAAGTTTTCTTCCATTAAACTCGTTTGAAACCTATAGTTTCAGAATATATAGCTAGATACTACTTTTAATTTCATTGTTTTAGAGATGTCTTTTATTACAAGGTTTATATCTTTCTACTATAGATATGTAAAAAAGAAATAACAAAAACTTCTCTATACTTTTTGAATGACTCTATCTATTCAAAAAATCTACTATATGCTCTTAAGAAACTTACTTTGGTACCATGTTAGTATAAAAAAAGAGTGCTAACTCCAAAACTCTGATTTTGTGTATGTATGGATATATATATATATATATATATCAAAATATATAATTTTTCTTACTTACTATAGCTTCATTCAAGATGAATATGCAACCATACTAGCATGTCTAATTCATGTGACACATGACAAATGAAACCCCAACTATTGTAATCCTAATACATGAATAAGACTGAAATCCTAATGAGTGAAACTCTAATGAATGTTCAAGCCAACACAGAGGGCGGCAAATATTCTTAACTACGAGGCTGAATCCCAAAGGTGAGCTTGGGTAAATATATTCCTGTCCTGGTATTTTCTTTACATGGACAGTTTGAAAGAAAACTCCACTTCCACAATTCCTGCAATTGTCAATGTTCACAGGATTGGAATCCACTATGTTCCCTTGGAACCATCTTCAATGCAACATTTTCCATTGAAGCATAATTTCCGTCCATGAGTGTTTTGTTATTCTTGTTAGAAAACATTGTGCCTCGAATTTGCAACTAGTGCACTAACAGAAGAATGTGATATCTCGGCACGATCCTCTTAAGAGGGATAGATACAAAGGCTTTATTGAAATGAATAAACCTCATTCATATGTACAGTGGGATTCAGATTGCATTATATCAGCACGCCGGCTGATCGAAAGAAATCTGTGCACGTTTCTATACAGCTACCTCTGCTTGATTCAAGGCCTCTTTTCCTGTAATTCCCGTCTTCAGTTTACTGAAAAATGGTTCATAATCACGTACAGGAGGGGGATTTGCAGGATCTACTGTGAACGGTTGGCTGAAAGGAACAGTACTCTTCACTTCGAACGTTTTGTCTCGCGCAGCTGGGGAGGACATTGAAGCAACAATAATCCGTGCCACCTCAGCTCTTGAGATTTTCCCCGTAATATTGTCGCCCTGATCGAATTGTAACTCCGCCCCTGCTGGTTCTTCCGTAAGAGCGCAGGGCCTTATTACGGTGTAAGGTATTCCGCTTTCTCTCACCAAATCTTCAGCTTTTAGCTTGTATGTTAAAATATAACCTAGTTCCTTGTTCATTCGGACTGCAGGCGGCTGTTTGCTTAAATCCAGACCTGGCCTATCAGGTCTAGTGACTCCGGCAGAGCTGAGATGCACAATACGCGGAGTAACAGGCTCCTTCAAGTATGCTTTTATGCTAGCAATCGGAAGTTCAAATGGTCCCGCTTCAAATTTAGGGTTCAGTTTCTCGTCATATTCAAACTTACTAAACAGTAACTGCAACGATGCGATCTTGGAGCTGTCAAACGGCGGGGCATTCTTCACCGTCCGAGCGCGGAAAACAGGAACTAACGAGGAGAATGGAATACGAATTGTTTGCCATTCTCCCTTCACGGTGTCAAAACCAGAAGTGTAGCCCAGAGCATCCCAGTCTGTACTAGTGCGCACTCTGCACGAATTCAAAATTAAGCAAATTACCCACAAAAGGAACAGTGGTTTGAACAAATTCCAATCACAAAATTCAGTACCTAGAGTTATGGCAGGGAGCAGATTAGGGAGCACTGGCGTTGTCAAAGTGCAGAGAACTGAAAATGAAGGTCAATGCAATGATCTCAGTATTTAAAAGAGTCCCTGTGATGAGGACAACATACATGAACTTAAAACGGTGCCCATCTCCTTTCAGTCGAAATTCGAAGCCTCCGTACGCGCTCAAATCTAGAACAGGCTCAAAATTGCGTGAACGAATACTGGCGAATCCTCCGTTGTTATCAGTGGAAACATATCCTTTGAACAAGCCAACGGGTCCTCCGTCTTCTCCACCCGTGGCACTGACCTGAAAGGAGCTGGCGCTAACACCTCCCATGACTACATCATCCAAAGCCCCCCAAGCCGGTCCAATGGGCACTCCGTTGGGTGACATGCAGAAGAGAACTCGTGATTCAGACGGAAGGGAAGCGTATTGTTTGATCTTAGCAAGAACATTCTGCAAACCTCGATACTCCACAGCCTCAGGAGTATCTCCTTTCACTTCAGGGTCGAAGAATTTGATGCCTTGGTAATATTTCTGACGTTCAGCTGTGTCTCCCTCCTTGGGTCCAACAATACAGCTGTGAGCCACCACAACACTCGTCACTCCTTCGAAGTACTCCGGCAGCAGTGTGGCACTCTGTGTAATATCTGCTGCAACGATGTCTACATCCGAATTCAGCAGATTTTGGGCCTTCTCGACACTTCGAACCAGAGCCCGGACCTGCACGCCATTCTTACGCAGTTCGTCCACGACTCGCTTGCCCACCCCCCCAGTGGCACCTGTCACCAGCACTAAGCCCCCATCTCTACCGTTGTTACTACCACCAGACTCTTCTTTCTCTTTCACCATAGACTGCATCACCGAGCTCACAAATTTGCTAATTGAAGGTGGCCCGTTGAAAAAATACAGAGTCTGAATGAAGCGTCCGATATCCCAAGGCTGCCGTCCACCCTCTGCTCTAATTAATGGAGTCCGAAAGTGCGATGGCCGTGAGGAGAATGTAGACGTCGGCAGTCTCGAACTGGCTGGCGTGAAACAGAGACCAGAGTAGCGAGGAACAGAAACTGGGAAACATGCAACAAAGTTAGAGGAGAGAGCGAGCTGAGCATGACAAGACGATAGAGAGACAACGGGGAGGCCCATTGCAAGGGGTCAGGAATTTTAGGAAGGAGGATAAACGACGCTAAACGGAGAGTGGAAGAGCAAGGGCAAAGAGAGGCAGGGAGGAGGGCAGAAGGGCAGCCCTGGGAACAGAGCCAGCTTCTGGATGTCTCTCTCGCTGAGGCCGCTTGGCAGTGTACAAGCTGATCCCACGTGTGCCCACGCGGAGTTATCACCTTTCTATCGGAGCCCCATTGTTGTTGATGTTCAGCCACCCTTCCTTCCTCACCCCGTCTCAGATCTTCTGTTCATTGGTGCTCCTCTCCACAATGTATGGTTGTGGACTCTTCCCAGACTGCCAGCATGAGACGATCTTCGTGACCCAGTTGTGCACCGAAGACTAGGATATGTATTGCATAAGAATAATAACTCACAACAGCTCTTGCGACGATTTTTACTACTCTTTTCTTGCACAAGTTATCTTTCACCAATTTTATTTATAAAAATTCTTTTTAAAGGTAATGAACATGCTGTAACAAAAAAAAAACCACACTTGAATTAAAATTCAAATAATTGTGAAATGATCAATCGAAATATCAAAAAATCTGAAAATGTAAAGATATACTTATTAATCAAATACCGATTTTTTAGAGAAATTGTTAAAATAAATTTGACAAAAGAAAATAAAACATCTTCCAACATTTGCACAAATAATACAAGTTTACAAAGTAGATAAGGTTCATCCATTTTACATTCATAGGTTCAGAAGGGATCAGTAAAACCAAAAAAATCCGATCAGTCAGATTTACAAGAGTAACTTTTTGAAAAAAAATTATCTATATATATATATATATATATATATATATTACATGTATTAAGAAGTAAAATGGCATCATAACTTTAATATTTTATAATTCAATATTTTTAGTATATTTTGCCAATCATAAAAGTCCTCAATGGTAATTTTGCTCATATTAAATCTCATTTTCAAATAAATCAATAACCATATAATCATTTTTTCATTTTTTTAATTAAAAAATATCATCCCTATGAAAAGGTTTGAAAAGTTTATACAATTCAAATCTGATAAACCATGTTTTATAACTTTTATTAATAAAGTCAATACCTGCATACATACTTCTATAAATATATATATATATAGATATATATATATATATATTTATGATTTATTTAAGCAATAAAGTTTAGATTTATATTGAAGATATATATATATATATATATATATATACACATGCATACCTTATTTGCTCAAATATTTGAATTTTTTTTGAATTTAAAATACATACATATAAATATATACATATAAATATATAAATATATATATATATATATATATATATAAAGTAAAATTTATTAATAAAGATCAAAGTTTTACATTATGAAAATCAAATGATTTTAGTTATAAGTTATAAAAGTAAGCAAGATAACAAGGCCAATTGGTGGTAATAATAGCTATTTAAGATATATTCTAAATTTTATTTAAATTTATGATTTTTATAGTAGTATAATATATGTATATATATATATATATATATATATATATATATATATATATATGTATATTTGATTATATAATATTACAAAATTGTGAAGATAAAAAAAATACGTTGAAGTAAAACTTTAAAAAGAGAGATTTAAAAAATTAAAGTAAAATTTTAAATTAAAATCTATAAAAATTAAAATAAAAATAAAGATCCAAATAATATTGATATAAGCAAGAAATTTTATCTTAAGAAAATTACTAGAAATTGGTTAATTTCTTTGTCACAAAGAATTAGAAAGCCAATAATTAATACAACTTTTGATAGTATTAAATCACAATGTTTTATATAAAACAAGTCAATAATTTTTTTAAATTATATATTAACATATAAAATTATGCATGTATCTCTTTGCTTAAATAGATTCACTTGCTTGCTTACTATAAGTATTTCAATTCTATTCCATCAAGTTCTTATAACAAGTATGTACTATTGTCATAGACTTCTATCACTAAACATGGTCTTATCTAATGTTTGAAAATAAATTGTAATATATTATATTGGCTATCCAAATTATTATCATAGATTAAGATCCTACCATCTTCTTCAATTATATTACATTATAGTTCATGTATTTTATCAAATTTTTCTTTATTTTTTTCTCTTACTTCTTTCAACTTCTTTATTGCCACTTCAATATCCTTAGTCTTCTTTCTAATTATTGAGTCTATAATGCTAAAAGCTCTTTTTTTATTAAAATCATCTTTTTATAGTAACACATTGTAAAGGATATGAATCAAAATAAAAAGAATCTTAAAACATTTTTGTATAATTTAAGAAGAATAAATATTTATTCAAAAGTAATATAGTATTAAGATTAGATAAAATAGCTATTTCCAACGACAAGAAGATTATAGAATCTTGAAACTAGACTAAGAACAAGAAGGCATTGACAAAAGTGAAGAAGGCTTCACTCTTGCCTCTATATATACTATCTATCTAATTAGGAGTTACATGGTGATATTCTATAGGACCTCTAAGTCATGTTGATTTTGCAAGACAAATATTTTAACTTACAAGGCAAGTTTTTTGTATGTACTCAACATAATTAGCATGTTTTACAAGCTATTAACATATGCAATATGTGAGTAATTTGTTGACCAAATTTCTAACCTATCAATCAAATACAAATACTTATAAAGCCAAAGTTGTATCCATGAAGCTTCTAAAATGTTTTTTTAGAAGATAATTTAAAATTAATCTATTTTTATTTACTTCTACCTAATCATATAGGTAACTATTGGAATAAATATGTATATTTGTGATACACTCTCCATGTAGGTATTATTTCTTTTATTGGAATTATTGGCTTTTATCCATACATTAATTCAAAAAGCATATAATTTATTATTGTGTTATAAATTATGGAGTCTATCCAAAATGCAAATAGTAATAGTCTAAGCTATTATTATACTTTGCTATTGCATAATTTTATTAATGCCTTAACAATAGCTAAATGTCTTTGTTCATTCTTTCTATTATCTTTTAGATTATATATTGTTGTTAAAGAAAGTTTAATTTTTATCCTACCAAAGAATGCTCTTGCTTCTTTTTCATTCAATTCACATCTATTTGTAGTAGTTTTTCTAATACATCTATAACAACAAAAAATATCTTTTAAAAGAAATCAATAAATGCTTTGAATATTTTTTTATTTTTAATGGTTATTTTTCAACCATATTTGATAAATATTCTTATATAAGTATAAATACTTTATTTATTTTAGTCCCATAAGCATTGTTATTAAATCTACTATTTACTTTTAATATAGTGCTAGAAGATATATTGGATGTAATCCATCTTATCAAATATTAATATGAAGTTGAAAAATCTTATATTATCTTGTAAATTTAGTCATATCTTAATATACGCCTTTTTATTAGTTCTTCTCTTTTAATTTTGTAAAAGTTGTCTAAATCTTTTTATATCTTACCTACAAACTTTCATGGAATTCCTTGATAATCTTTTTTTGAGCTTTTAAATCACATATCATCTATTGAAATACATCTACTCTCTTTTTTAAATATTTTTGTAAGTATCCATCATATAAAAATTATCATTTGACCTTCTTATAGATTTTATTAAATTCTTAATTTGTCAAACCTTTTTGTTACTTTAATATATTTAAATACTTTTCAAAATCTTTTTATTGACCTCTATGTGATTTTTTTAAAAATAATTTTAATAGTATATTCAAACATACATATATTTTTTATAATTGTCAAGGACAAGAACTCGATGAAAAAACAATTCAGACAAGTGAGCCTTCACTCAAAGAGAGGTAACAAAATATATATAAACAAGTATATATATTGAAAGAGAAACTGGAATGGCTATTGCCAAAAGACAAGAAAACTAGAGACCCTTGAAACTAGACTAGAAGCAAGAAAAGAATTGACAAGAGTGAAGAAGCCTTTACTCTTGTATCTATATATATTATCTAACTAGGGGCTACGTGGCGACATTCTATAGGACCTCAAATATGTGTTGACTTTGTAGGACACATGCCTTGACTTACAAGGTAAGTTTTTCTATGTGTGGGCCATATAGTTAGCTTGATCTTCAAGCTAACAACATGTGTGGCACATGGCCAACTTGTTGACCACGTTTCTAATCCAAAAAGTCAATTAAAGACACCTATGAAGTCAAAGCAGCGTCTAGGAAGCTTCTAAAAAGCTTCCATATTAAATATTATAGAATTAACTTACTTTTACTTACTTTTACTTACTTCTACCTATTTATATATGTAATTATTAGCTTTCATGATTATGGCCGTGACAATAATGCATTAGTATAAAAATTTGCATCCACATTATCTTTCAAATCAATTAAATCTTTTTCATTATAATACCATATCTTTAATAATATATTTGAAATAAAATTATCTTTTTTTGTAATATGCTTAAACTTTATATTTATAGATTTGATATATATTATTTATCTTAAAATAGAAATATTTGGAATTAAAAAACTTATAATCATTCCTAATTAAAATTAATAATTTATTTTTATAACTATTGATTCATCAATCAAGTAATGTTTTTTTATTTTTTTATAAAAAATACTACATCTTATAATTTTCTTTTAATTTGTGAATATTTTCTTTATCTAATATTTAAAATCTTTGCTCTAAATCTTATTATACATCTATTTATATATGCATTATCTTATCCAATTGCTCAATCTATTTTAATTAGATTTGCATCAACATTCAATACTATAGATTTTTCATATTTATAGTTTACTTTCTTTAAAATTAGATATAAAAAAAAATCTTTAAATTTTTTTTAGCTATTCTTAATTCTTCTTTTTATTATTTTTTTTATTTTTTCTCAACAATTTATACAATGGATATTTTACATGTGTAAAATAAAATATCCATATATAAAAGAAAATATATGCTTTTAAAAATCTTCTAGCTTCCATTATATTTGTATATGTTTTTATTTTTTTAATTATATCTAACTTTTTAATATGCAACTTGTGTCTATATAATCTACACATGTATCCATCAATAAGAATTTTAATTATTTCAAACATAGACTTTGCACGTGATAAGGTCAAATGTATTTCTTTTAAATGTGATAAAATCTTTCCAAAATCCATAATAAAATTTTCAATAAATCTTTAACATCTTCTTTAATGTAATAATTTAT